GGCGTCCGCATGGTATGTACCCTTGCGCGTGCGAACGGAGATCAAGTTTGGCATGGGTCAACTGCACCCCTTCTCCATTACCACAAGAAACGCCGACTCCTTCGCACACGTATCCCTGACTACGCACTGACCTGGGCCCGGTTCAGATATGGTTGGGGGGGCCTATATGGAGAAAGCCTCCCCGTACGCCGAGGCATGTTGAAGGGCCCCTGGTGGCCATGTATCTTTTGGTGGCGGCTGGGTTCGAATATTGGCAACCCCTACGCGCTGACCGACGACCGCGGGAACGACATGCCTCTCCTCCTCACCTCCCCTGCCCTCCTCAAACGGCTGTGCGAATCTGCCGTTGTCAGCGCTCTCGTGTGTGTTATGCCTGCATCAGCTCGGTCAGCCGTTGGCTCTCACCGCTTATGTTTACCCGCTGGCGAATGTGGCGCCGAATATGCTGCACTGGCCGCCACACCATGCGTCTCAAAAGACTCGTATGAATTTCTGTCATATTGCAAGATGGTTGTAAACCAATGCGTTTCGCCTCTGTCCCAGCCCCCGAATAGGCCCTACAGTGGCCTAGTCATGAAGTGCCTCTCGAATGCGAGCGGTCGTCTCGAGTGAACTCCCAAAGTGAAGGCTCACATTCAGGAGTATCCCAGCCTGGAATGGAAAGAGCGGATCAGAATTCTGCGCGCGCGCCCTGGCTGGAAATTTTGATTTTCCAGCGGCGGGTGCCGCTCGGGGCCCTGGGCAAAAACGGGGAGAATCGACGACGTCGCAATTCCCCCCCTTCCCCCATCCCTCGTCTCGTCCTCCTTCCTCCCCGTCACCATATCATTCCCCATCCTCCCTATATTTTGCTGCATCTCCCCCCAGAATCCCTTTCCTCATCCTCCAGGCTGCGAACCTTCATGCGCCTCTCTCCCTCGCTTTGGGGGGGAGGCCTTTTCCTGCGCCCGCCGACCTGGCAGCCCACCTCCTGGACGTCTGGCCCAGGACCGGCCTGGACGGGGTCTCTTGGGAGCGTCCTGTGCCTCATGGGCCTCCTCGGGATCCAGTCCCTGTGCGCTCCTGGGGCTTCGTTGACAAGTTTTGGCACTGTAACGGGTGCTTCGAGGGCTCTCGTGCTCGTTTGAAGCCTCCCACCAGGGAGGGGCGCCTGGAAACTCAAAGCATCGCCACAGAGGCTACGAAACCTTTGGCCACAAATGCATAGTGTCAACCCGTACAGTAAAGGAAGGATGCGCGATATGGGTGCAGGGGCCTTGGAAGGCCATGTCGACCCTTTGGGGGCGGGGCGCGGCCAGCGAAAGCGGCCAGGGAGGTGCCGAAGGGACAGGATGCAAGGGTACCCTTTGGGAAGGCTGCCCATCCTTTAGACTGTCGTTGCCTGCCCGCCGTGCTTTCCCTACGCCTTTGGTGGGCCACTGCGGGGCTCGGGGGGGCCCCATGTCAGGCTCAACCCTCCTCTCGTGCTCGTGCACAGGTTGACGGAGGCCCTCCCTGCCGAATAGAGTTGGTCCTCGAATTGTGTCCCCACGCAGAAGCGAACTTCGGTACAAACTCAGCACAGGACTATCCTGAGAGGATCAAGGGTCAGAATTGATCTCGACGGCATCGGGATCTTGTGCTTCCCGATGCTATCCTCTGTTAGTCTGACTGGTCCTTGGCAGTGGATGTCCAAGTCCCTGCTCGGAGCGATCCGCGCAAAGGGGAGCGCCGAAATCGGCGCGTTGCCGCCCCCAGCGGATGCGAACTGCCCAGCGCAGATGCCGCAGGTGGAGCCCCCCGCGTGCTCGTCGGCGGCGCCGCCGCGCGCACCTGGCCCTCTGGCACCGCGGATGGAGCTCCCCGTGGAGGCGTGAAGCGGTGTGCCGCAGTGGGCGTGGGGCGGCCAGGCACGAGCCGCATCGGCGGGGCGACGCCGAGCGAATGCCCTCACCGGGGCCTTAGGCGGAACTGCCTATGGGGCACGGTCCGTCACCGGCCTCGAACTTATCCCTAGCCCTGAGATTGACACGCCGAAAGGCGACGACAATCTGAGGGATGCGCCCTCAAAAACTGAGGGAATCCCTAAGATTGGCATCGTGATGGGGCGATGCCCAGCATAGGGATAGGGAGATGTTCCAGGCTGGTAAGTCCGTGCGAGGGGTCTGCTGGGATGCATGGGGCAGCACCATGCGAAAGCCCCATGTTGAAAGGCGTCCGAAACGGCCCAAGTGACCCCCAGTACCGCCTCAAAGCTCCGTAGAGGCCCGAGACCGCTGACGCCGGCTCGCTTATATTTTCCAAAGACCCCCAACACGACCCCAGCAGCTCCCAATTCTCCCCAGAAGCCCCAATTGGGAACTCGCTGGGGACAACGACTATATGAATGCGCAGTGGTGATGGCAACGGTGCCCTCCGCCTCACCAGCTGCAATGTTGACACAGGTCAAACTATTATCTGAACATGTGTCCTGCCACGAAGCAACCACTCTGGGGGCCCGATCTGCGTGAGGGGTGTGTCGAAGCTTGCCGTGGCGACGCAAGAAGAGTTCCTCCACGGTCCCCGGCGGGGGGACGAAGTGGGTAGTGATACCGCATGCGAATTCCTCCACTGTGTCACGAAAGGAGGTCCCGATGGGGGTGCAATCCGCGTGATGGGTGTAGTGCGGAACCAAGTGATGCTGGCTCGCGTAAAAAACTCCATACCGGGGCCGAGTGAGGTGGTGGTCGCGCATGTAAGTTCTTCCAGTGTGGCCACAATCGAAGCTCGCCGTGGGTGCACGATCCGCGTCGGTTGCAGGGGCGGGAACGGGGGGAATGAAGTAGAGGAGACGTGCGGCGCAGCGGGGAGATTACGAGGACCAACAATACAGGAGGGTTGGGGACACTGAAAGGGGGGAGAGGAGACGCAACGCACAACGACGCCAAAGCAAAGAGACAGCTCCACAGCATAGGCTAGGGGAACGCTCTTAGTCGTTGCGCACTCCGTTGCACATCTCTTCTTTCCAGCTTGAAAAACGCATGTCCATGAGGCTCTTGATACCGATCCTAGATGAAGCCCGAACCCCTAAAGACCCAAGACAGGCCCAAAAGGGGAAGCTTGGATGGACACCGGTGATCCTCCCCCCAGCCAGTATGTCTCCAAGACCGCATCATGCCCTCAAGCAGCCACGAAAAGGAGCTATTCTGCTTCTCGAAAGCCCCCCAGGAAGCCTTAGGAGTCTACCAAGAGGTCCTTCAGGGGCCTCCACGAAATCCTCAGCAGGCCCCTCGGCGGACCCCAAGAGGCCTCCAGCGCGTGAGCGTGCCATTCGGCTGGCTGGCAAGGCGAAACTCCCAAGGGCGGCCCACTCTTCGGTCCGTCCGCGCGCAGAATCTGCCCACGCGTTGTACTTTGGGGCGCTCTTCATAGCCTTCATGCTCGGACGGAGAAAACAACGCAAGAAGACGACAGGATGTGTCGGTCCACGGAGCCTCTTGGCGGCGCGCATAAAGGGGGGTGGTGGGCGCGGGGAGGGCTTATTAGAGGGAGGCTGCCTCTTAGAAGGCGCCGGCCTTACATCTATAGATAAGGCCCGCGCCTTCTAAGAAGCAGGGGTGCTCCTAAGAAGCCCCCCCTCCTCCCCCCGCCCCCCTCTGCGCGTGGCCGAGCAGGAAGCCGACAGGATGTGTCGGTCCTGGGAGCCTCCAGGGAGCAACAAACTTCGTGTGACCATCGCGCTCCAGATGGCCCAAACTCACGATTAATTGTGTCTGTGTGTTGTTCCCCCTCCTGACAAGCGTGGGTTAACGATGCATGGATCTGGCGCGTGGTCGCCAAGTCCATGGATTGGGGGAGGTGCCCTCCTCAAAATGCTGCCGGTGCCGCCTCGCTCGGCGGCGGCAAACCGCGATTTCCGATATCCCCTCCTCCTGCTTCCTCCTGCCAACACACGTTCCTCCCTCCAAGCTCGGAGATTCCAGCCGCCTCCCCCATCCTTTTTCCTCCTCCTCGTGCGAGTCATCCTCCTGCTCCTCTTTATCATCTTCCTCCTAATCCTCCATCCTCGACCCTCCTACTCCCCAGCCCTCACCCTCCGCGTCCTCCTCGGCTTGGTCGGACCGAAGACTTGAACAATCCGACGCCTGCCCAAGAAGGTCCCTGTTGTAAGGGAACCTCCAGAAGAAAATGGTCCCCGGGTCAGCTTGTGCAGAGGGGGCGAGGGACTTACGGGATCCGCAGGGGAGGGATGAGGCCGACAGGAAACAAGTAACAACAAGCAGGAGAAGAGAGGAGAAGGCGGAGAAGGATGATCAAGAACAGGATAATTAGCGAGGGAGGGAGCGGAAGGCAGGCGGAGTAAACTACATACCCTTGGTCTGGATGCTTGGTGGCGACGCCCACTGCCACGACTATAAATGGCGAACTACTGTAACGGATCGGGGCGGAATATCGCCCGGGGGCAGTAAACGCGAAGGTGGTCGAGGTAAGTAGCGGCTGCCCTGAACGACAACGAACATGTCCTTGTCGCTCTCCTGCGTCAACCCAAAAAATCAGGCGTACTCGGCTAAGCCGACTACTCGAGAATGCCATAGTCCCACAGACAGAAAACATCATGCAGTCGGACGCCGCATCCTAGGGCGACCGTGACGCTGTCTGCGTACTGCTGCGCCGATCGAAATTGCAGCTGTACGGCGTGGCTCTCCATATGGGTGGTGATGCTCTGGGAGAGGGCCAACGGAATGGAACATCTCAACGAGAATGAGACAACTGAAGGGGCCCAAGGAAACACAAATAAATACACACAAATAAAACTATGCCCCATATTTTCCAATATGTTCTTGGTTTTTTGACTTCCCCCCCCAGTTCCCATATTTTTCCATATGTTCCTGGGGAATTGACGATTAATCGTGTCTCTGTGTGTGCTTCCCCCTCCTGAGACAACGCTGGCGCTCCCCCTGGGCCCATATGGGGCCCGCACCGAGGACCCCGTGCTGACGCTATGCCGACCCTCCACTGCACCCTCTGGCATCCCGAGAGTCCTGGATCTTGGCTGCCGCCGCATTCTCCTCGTCGGTCCCCGTCGGGAGGTCCTCTGGCGCCCCGCGTCCCCCGACATCCAGGAGCGATCGCTGATGATCACAGGTGGCTGGCATGTACCAAGCAGCAGGCAGAGACAAAAACGACGACGAGGTGCCGTAGGTGAGTTCCGCAATGCCAACTGGTAAATCACTGGCATCTGGCAACTGGCTGACTGCACAGGCCAGTTGTTTACACTGCATCACTAACTGCCTGCCTGACTGAACTCCGGTGGCAGTTTTCTATCCGCCGGAGTTTTTCTTTACCTTGGTCAGCGCCCCCAGCAGCAGCTGCTTCTCTCGATCGAGCTGGCTGCGCGAGCCAGAGTCAAATGTTACCCGCTCGGACTGCGATTCCACATATTCTTCCTCTCGCATCCAAGAGAGCAGTGCGTCGGAGACAACCTAGAGCCGCAGGAAGATTGGGGGAGCGTAAATGAAGAAGGAGAGGTACCATTCGAAGAGACGTCGGAGTTGAGGATCGGCCCGGGCAAAAGGGGGGGGATAGCAAAGGGATGGTTGAGAATCAGCTCACGTAGCTGAGTTTCCCGGCGCCTCCCGGCGCCGGGAGGCGCCCATGCATCGAGGAATGGGCCTGGCGGCGGGGCCGAAACCAGCTGCACGCAGCAGATGTCGTACCCCCCCTTTCCCTATCCCCCCCTTTCGTTCGGCCCGAGAGGAGGAGGAGGGGAGGAGGAGGGGGAGGAGGGGGGAGGGGAGGAGGAGGAGGAGGGGGAGGAGGAGGAGGAGGAGGAGGAGGAGGAGGAGGAGGAGGAGGAGGGGGAGGAGGAGGGGGAGGAGGAGGAGGACTCGAGGCTACGTGGCTGGCAGTTTTTCTTAGGGCCCACGGGGGTGGGGATCTCTGGCCGGCGGGCTTGGGCGCGGGCGTGAGGCTGGCCAGCTGGCGGGCCTGAGCGGGGCGTGTGAGGAGGCATCTGGCTGCAAGGTCGTGGGCCAGGACCAGGCCGGGCATGTCCTCCCAGAGGCGGGTTTTTGGGAGAGAAATAACATTCCTTCCTCCTCCCTCCTCCCCCCTCCCCCCTCCTCCCCCTCCCTCCTCCCCCTCCTCCTCCTCCTCCTCCTCCTCCTCCTCCTCCTCCTCCTCCGCCTCCTCCTCCCCTTCCTCCTCCTCCTCCTCCTCCCGTTCCTCCTCCTCCTCCTCCGCCTCCTCCTCCGCCACGTCTTCATTTCCCTCCGACGTCTTATCACGCATCCCGTCACCCTCGAGGGCCGAGGTATCCAGGGTCGGCGGCACTGGCCTTACGGCCTTAGCAATATCTGGCTGCAAAGATGTGGGCCAGGACCAGGTCGGGCATGTCCTCCCACAGGCGGAGTCTGGAAGAAAAATAGAATTACATCAAAGAAAAAACTCAATCGGTGGATGGGTTTCGCTGCGGAGATCGACTGGGAACCCGGGAACACGGGAACCCAGAACCCACCGAAATCGGCCCAGAACCAATAACCAGGAACCCCGGAACCCCGAACCGGGAACCCGGGAACCCAGCCTGCTACCAAACTCGGCGGGAAACTTTCGCCAAATCTTTCAACTTCCGTCAGGACCCCTTCAGTGCAAGCACTGATTGGGGAAATAATCAGAACATATACAAAGATAGTCAAGCAAATGCGAAAGGTCGTCCCCAGATTATGTGTGGACCATTCTTGAATCCTCCTCCTGTAGAGGGACATGCCCGACTGAAAACCAGGAGGTGTGGCAGGCAGCTTTAGGCCACTAGGTGAGTGCATATGTCATTTGGCTGACAACTTGGGGCCAGAGGGCGAGGCTATACCTGGCTGGTTTGGGCCAGGGGTGGGGATGTCTGCAGATCTGTGCCATGGGGGTGAGGACGTCTGGCTGGCAGTTCCTGTTCACCAGCACTCCTGTGGTGAGGGGTCCCGGTTTTGAATACGCAGCGCCGCGTCTCACCTCACCTCCTCGCTCTCGCTCTCTCTTTCTCTCGTTCTAGGTCTCTATCTCTCTCTCTCTCCCCCTCTCTCTCGTCATCCCTCTCTGCCTCCGTCCGCAAGACAATTTCAGCACGCCCCTCACACGCATCGCACCCCCATAGGGAGCTCCACCTACGGCCCCGATGTGGCCTCAAAAATGGCCCGCAAGGCCCCGGAGTTGGCCCTGATACGGCCCCGATATCGCCCCCCCCCCCCACCACCACAGCTACCTGGAGTGCCACTAGAGAGCTCCAAGGTGGCTCCAATATGCCTCCAAAGGGGTGCTCTTTGCCTCTGTATACTTTTGCTCATCTGCGCCCTCCTGCCAGACTGCTCACCTGGGCATCGTTTCTGGATTGGCTGGTGGGGAGACGCGAAACGTCGAGAATCTCTTCTGCTGCCCTCTCCCGTTTACCACTTTCAGCAGGTAGACCTCGTGCAAGTCGTACGAGGTTTCAACTTACAGCCAGATTCAAGATGTAGTAACATCCTTCTAGAACTTAATGGGCCCTGGAAACGACAGGGCCGTTCAAGGGACATTTTTGGGGGAAACGGTGAAGAAACGGCCCTGCCGTTTCCGGGGCCCACAAAGTTCAAGAATATGAGACCCTCCGCCGCCCAAAACTGAGGAACATTCGGGGGTGCCCTCCCCCGGGATGCACAAGATCATCCAACAATCATGAAGAACAGCAGGGTGCCCTCCCCGAACCGACCTCGATCTTATACCTTGGTCCAACCGTACACCTCGTCCAAACCGTACGGCATTTCAACTTGCTGTGACAATTATGCTGAACAAGCCACGGAGAAATCTTGGCCCCGCTGACCGACCCTACCAACCCTGGGTGGGACTGGGTGCCGTCTCTCTCGGGTCTCGCGGCACCCCTCCGCTGCGAGAGCCGCACCACGCTGGCCCAAGTAGGCTGCCAGGATGGCTTTGGCGGGCATGACAGGTGGCCCGTCGACCCATCACAATCCGTCGGAACACTATGCACACTGTAGGTTTTTCTTGCTAGGCTGAACTCCAGCCTTCAGATTTGCCACGCTGTGTTTAGGTCGGGCATGGCCTCCTGCAGGCGGATCCTGGGCGACAGAAATAATCCAAACATGGCCAACAAAGTATCACAACTACTCCAAAAAAATCGCCCCATTCACTACACTGCGGACTGGCTGCGAACATTCGTCCTGTAGAGGGACACGCCCAGCTGAACGCTGTCTTCCCCGAGCTCCCCTCCTCTCCAGAGCTGCACGATGGCGTGCTCTGGGCGAGGCGCCGCCTGCGAGGGGCACCCACCAGGGCAACTGCGCGGGACGGCCCGGGACGCGCGCCGCGGGCCACGGACCATGGCGGGACAGCCACGAGGACCACGGCGGGACAACCTCCCCAGGCGCGCGGAGGCTCGACGGGCCCGAGAAGAGGCAAGAAGGGCGACTGCCACCGCTTCCACGGAGAGGTCTCCCGAAACTGGAAGCGGCAAGACCACGGCAGCAAGGAAGGGCAACAAAGACGGAATTCGACCAGGACCGTTTTTCTTTATTTTTGATTCGTGGGTCGAGAGCGCACCTCTTCCGGTCGAAGCCAAGCGGGCCGCGCACAGCTTGAATTAACAAAGAGGAGGGGACAGAAGGAGAGGCCTCACGTCAAGGCCAGGAGGAGACAAATTGGGACCAAGACCCGCACTGGCAAAACAACGGCGACGGAACCGGCAAAGCAACGGCGATGGAGCTTGCAATAGGAGCGGCAAAACGGAGCTGGCAACAAAACGCGGCCCTGTCATTTCCAGGGCCCGCCAAGCGTGGAGGGCACTGTGGGGGCGTTCGGGTGAGCTGATTTGAGGTGCCCCTTGCTAGAGCACGATCTCCCTCGCCCTCGCGCAACTTCGCCTCGCACGCACGCCACGGACATCGGCATCGCTCCCGTCCATTTCGGCCTCACCATCCGAGGCTTGACAGTGCCCTCTCTGGGAGGCGATGGAAAACCGCCTGCGAGAGCCACTGCAACACACCAGCCTCTCCCAGAGACAATGCGACACCCCCTGCCGGGGGGGACAACACATCACAACGTCTCCTTTGGGGGAGAGGGCAGTACTCCCAGCGTCTCCCGGCCGTGGCCGCGGTCTCCTCGCCAGCCCCCTGCAGCACCTGCTTGCTCACCAGCTCCTCGGCCTGTGCTCGTGTGTGGTGCGCGTGTGTGTGTGTGTGTGTGTGTGTGTGTGTGTGTGTGTGTGTGTGTGTGTGTGTGTGTGTGTGTGTGTGTGTGTGTGTGTGTGTGTGTGTGTGTGTGTGTGTGTGTGTCGCGCGCGCGCGCGCGTGTGTGTGTATGTGTGTGTGTGTGTGTGTGTGTGTGTGTGTGTGTGTGTGTGTGTGTGTGCGTGCGTGCGTGCGTGCGTGCGTGCGTGCGTGCGTGCGTGCGTGCGTGCGTGCGTGTGTGTGGTATCTGCGGCCTGGCTCACTTGTAAAACCTCTGGCCACCTGGACGGCTTCTGCCTGCGCCGCTCCTGCTCACAGCGTCCTCCTCCCCCTCGCCCACCCGCTCCTCCTATTCGCCCATATCCTTCTGCGTCCCCCTCCGCTGCTCTCCTCCACCCCCCTCCCCTCCACCTCGTGCGCACTCTCCCGCTCCTCGTGTTCCTGCCGCTGCTCATGCTCCTCCTTCTCCTGTACCCGCTGCTGCTCCCGACGCCACTGAGTTTCATGCTGATGCTGCTGCTGCTGTTCCTCCTTCTCCGCGCTTTCCTTACCGACTCCTCCATCCTCTCCTCAACCTCCTCGCCCTGCCGCCGCCCCCTCCTCTTCGGGGCTTCCACGTTCATACCCCGGACATTTCTAAATAATGCTTGCACTCAAGACTTCCTACTTGGCTTGCGAGGAACAATTTGTCGCATTCTCAGCACATGGGCACCCCTTTGCCGCCACCGTTGCCGCCTCGTTACCGCTTCGTTGCCGCTCCGTGCCCCCCCCCCACGCTGCCGCTACCTGACATTGCTTTGCGCTGCTCTATATTACTTCGCAATGCCTCGTATTGCTTTGCGTTACCTTGAGCCACTGGTGAGCATTTTCTTATTCGGCGTTTCGACATTGAACAAAAAAGGGGGGGGAGGGGGAGGTCTGTCTCCGGACCTCTGCTTACTGAAACTGTTTGCAACAGTGCGTCCTGTGGGGGAGGGACTCCTCCTGCTCGAAACAGCCGCCGAGAACAGCCAAGATCCACTCCGGGGGGGGGGGGAGGGAGGGGGGCAAGGGCCCGCGCCGATCGACAAAAGCAATGAGTAAGAAAACGATCACCAGTGGGTTGCACTTGTTCACTGCTTGGGTCCACACTGGGATCGTGCCGTGTCTTGCAAAAAAGTAGAATCAAGATGCTGAGCCAACGTGAGGTCTGAAGATCTGCAACAATATATATATATAGATAGACATATATATATATATTAAATCGGCAATCGGCGCTCCTCTCTGCGTGAGCCTCCTGCTGGCACGGCAGGCTTTACGGCGATTGCCAGGCCCGCCGCTGCTCCGAACAAATCTCGCAATCTGCTGCGCCTGAATGTTGCACCACGGTTTCGGACACTGTGGTGCCGTACAGCGGGGCTCAGACGTGGCACCCCTCGGCACCCCTGTATCACTATCCACCACCGTGCACGCTACTGGAGCGTTAGAACGCAAATCGACCGACTGGCAAGTTTTGCGCAATATATTCTGAAGGCGCCCACGCCCTCATCGCATCTACCCTTGAAGAAAAAACTCCCCCCGAAAGAATGGGCCAAACCCGCCTGAGGAGAGCTGCAAACCGGACTCGACACACGACCAGACAACTACGAAGACTGAGGCACTCGCCGATGGTAATAACTCGTTCAACGGGTCTCCAGAGGGACCACGGAGCTTCAAACAAGAGATCCCGAATGCTGCCTCACTAGATGCCTTGTGCAAATATAGAGAAACAACCATGATATGCGGGTGTCACGGATCTTTTGACTTCAAGTGGTATCGGGAAGACCTCATCTGGTCCAGAATGAGCCCCCCAAGCAACCCAATACGGACACGAGATGGCCCGGGAGGCCCCCAGAACGGCCGAAGCCCAGTCCCCCACCACTCCCAACGACAGCCACATGACTAGCCCACACTTCTAAAGGACACCAACGCTCCTAATCAGAGCAGACGACGCATCTCCGAAGAGAAAACCGCCCGACTCGGAGAAGACGCCATACCGACCAGTACGACGCCGCTATCAACTGGAGCAGGGGCCGTATGCACTACCAGCCGAAGACGCAGCCAGCTCCCCAAAATACCTCATGGAAAAAGTGCGTCGCCAGTCGGAGAAAACACTATACGAACCATGACATTCATACGCGCTTCTCATAGCGTTGCTTACACGCCACTGTAAAAAACAGCTGCAATGAGTACCGCTGGCCCCCTCGGCCACCACCGACCATGGAAACCATTTCGGCGACCCATAAGCAAGGCATGAGGGCCACGACTGGCGCCGTCTCTGCACCTGTTAACGATACGAGCAGGCTTCACACAATTATTGAGCAACACTGCCGAAAACTCTGTGGCTTCAGCTCAACCTGGATCAGTAATTGCTCGAAAACAAAATGTATACCAGCGTTGGCACCACTGGTGTGCCACAGTGGGCTCCTCTAGAATACGTTGGCCTTCATTTGACTCAGATGGTTTCCATTGGTCTCTGGTGCATTCCATTCGAATGCGAATGCGACTTCGCTGGGCTCCACCAGTATACATTGCCATACCAAACGTGTCCATCGTCATGCCAAAGAGGCCCATTGCCATAGCCAAGGCACCCATTGCCATCCCCAAGAGCTGAATGGCCAGATTCAAGAACCCCGTTGATACGCCAAGAGGAGCTGTTGGAATTTCCAAGATCGCGCCAGGGCACAATCAGAGGAGTTGCATTAGAACTCACATAGGCACGTCTGTCAAAAAACATGCACCTGATCATCATGAACTCGCATGTTCTACTCTCCGCCAAGCGGATGCCGCCAACATCCAGGTTAGCGACACCAGGTGGCTCAAGAATCGGATACACACCACGTGCCAAAGAATCGGAAGGAGGTATGGCTTCATGTGCCACCTGCTGCATGTTGAGGTCGACGCCCTGAGCCGCGCTGCTGCACGATATCATGACGCTGGCCACAAGAGCGATGGTGTCCACGGTCTACTCTGCTGCACCCGTCTTCCCGAGCGCTTCCGCATCGAGAGACAAGGCCGCAATGTTCAACTCGATGCACACCTCCTCGGTCATGCAAATGATGTCCACATTGTTTATCAGGCCTGGGATTGTTCATTATGTCCGGCACCTCGTAAAACGAACGGCTCGTCTAAATCATCGTCTCCCGAAGTCACGGTGCTAAGGCTGCAATCCACCGTGGCACCAAAGATTGCATCGTTGTTACATTGTCACCATCCGTCCCGTCGCAACCCACAACCTCCATGCCGCGCATGAAATGCTTCATCACCACAGTAGCGCCAAGAGAGCCGCAGCCGCCGCCGTGCACATCGTCGCCGTCCCCATGGCCGTCAGCTCCTCCAGCAGCTGGGAAGCAACAGTCGCCGAGATCACCACGCCCCCACCGTGCACAAGGCCTCCGCCTCCACTATGTGGGCGCGGGTCAGCCCGTGGGCCAACAATTCACCGGCAGCACTAACAAGGGCACCGTGCACGTGTTGTGGCAAGGCGTGCCCGTAGTGAAATGAGAGCCTCATGGCCACGCCAGCTACAGAAACCTCCCGTCGATCCTGAACGCATTGTCGTCTCGCATTGAGCTGTAGAAAGGATGTACTCCCCGTCTGCGCATGGACAAAAGGATGAGGACGGAAGAAGATGAAAACAACGAGGCTGAGGACAAAAGGGTGGTGGTGCTTAAGACCCGCGCCGGTTCAGAAAAGGCGCTGAACTGGAGCAAGTCGTAATCTCAATCTCCTCCGTGCTGCGATGCTGCACTGGCACGATGGCGGGATTCGCCGTAAGAGACTAGGAATCCTTCAACGACTGCCTGTGCCGCTACCAACACTGCCAGCACGACCGACTGCTACATCCTGCCCCACATGAAGGATTTTCACCTTCCTCCGCGCTACCGCCTGTCCACTCCCTCCTCCTCCTCCTCCTCCTCCTCCTCCTCCTCCTCGTCCTCGTCCTCCTCCTCGTCGTCGTCCTCCTCCTCCTCCTCCTCCTCCTCCTCCTCCTCCTCCTCCCCCTCCTCCTCTTCCTCCGAATCGCGCTCATCCTCCTCCAACTCCCTCCTCCTCCTCCTCCTCCTCCTCCTCGTCCTTCTCCTCCCCTTCCTTACGCCGTTTCGCGACGTCGTGCCTTTCTCCAAACTGGATTGTTTTTGGCGAGGTCCCCGAATTGGCAAGATTTGCAATTCTTCTTTACTGAACGTTACAGTGCCATGGCTAAGGCAGAACAGGCTGGAGGGTACTTCCATTTGGGCTGCTGTGGGTCGGGTCAATGTTCACGGGAGTTTTCTGCAAGTTCCGACCCAGGGCGGGGGTTGGGTTGGAGGCGCGCGGGTTTCGTGCCCATCTAAGCCCTCCACCCCTCGGCCTGGGCGTACATCTGCCGCTCATCCTCCTGAAGTTCCGTCCACCCCTCGGCCTGGGCGTACTGTCTCTTTTTACAAGTTGTTTGTTTATGTTTCCATGCTCTGGATTGTACTGCAAGCGTGCTGTTGGGCCTTTGGGCAGTGGCAAAACATGCGGGGGGGAATCATCGCGGCGTTTCGCAACGTGGTGCCGCTTTCCTGGGCAGTATGTGTTTCTCTTTTGCTGTCACATGTTTTGTCCCGCATCTTGTGCAAAGTATTGCAGTCTGGGGGCTGTCGGTGGCACTTCCTGTGTTCGGCTGGGGCGAGGTGGTCTGTGGGTGAAGCGAGCTCCTTCCTTCATTGCGAGAGTCAGCCCAGTGTTCCTTGGTAGGGCCTTATAGTGTGAAACTCATTTCTGCGTAGCCATCTGTTATGTCAATGTGGAGTCCATTCGGCGGCACAGCTTCAGTTTGTGTATATGTAATTGGGCTTGCATGATACTTCTCTCGGTTATCAGGCCGTGTAAAGGTCAGCTTTTCCGTCTGGGCAATATTCATAACTTGTCTGCTGGTACCTGTCCAACGTCTTCTGGTTCGGCGTCCTCGTTTTCGAGCTCAAAGGGTG